CACAATACAGGACAGCCAATCAGAACAGAGCACATTTACATAAACGCGTCTTAAAGACACAGTAACAGAAACAGCCTGTCTGTAAAGGATAAAGAGAGGCTGGAAAACAATCATGTAGAAATGAATTATGACTGTTTTTAGTACAAATGTTATAAATGAACCATAACAGAGAAAATAAACACAACGTTAATGTAGGATGTGGGCTGTTTGAGTAACACTGAGTTCAGTGTAGAGACCTGAATGGTCACACATCTGTTCTAACACTCTTAACAAATAGGGTTCTATATAGTACCAAAAAAGGGTTTTTTGGATTGTAACCATAGTGGAACCCTTTTCAAAAAGGTTCTGTATGGTTCTATACAGAACCTTTTTGAAAAGGGTTCCACTACGGACTAATGGAGAATGTGCTGCAGATGGTTCTATCTGCAGCACATTCTCCATTAGTCCGAAGAACCATTTCACCATGCAAAGAACCCTTTAATCATGCATTAAGTGTGCATGCATCTATAAAGAACCATTTTCTTTACTAAGGAACCCTTGAAGAACCATTATTATTATTATTATCAGCTCAACACCAGCATACAGATGATAACATGAGTTTGAACACCTAAACATTTCATTATTGATCATTTTGTTGACTTGCGTCTGTTTACACCTCAACACGCATTTTCACCACATGCATTTTCAGTGATTGGATCATGTTTAGATTTCACTAGACTTCATGTAAAGTCAGGTGTAAACCCCTCCAGGAGGCCCTGTGATTGGATTAAGATCGGATCATTCAGAGGTGCTCAGTGAGCCAGTTTACACCTCGTATTAATGAATGTTTAATGTCCAGATCTTGTCTGGATAAACGTCAGTCAGATTCTGTTTACAGTTTTCTCTAATATGGGCCTCCAGTGTGACCAGAAGAGATCAGATTGTACTTTTCCCGTGTAAAAAGCAGGTCAACACATGCACTGTGTCTGTTTTACTCCAGTTATCTTCACCCCTTTACAATACACGTCACCAGGTTTAGTTTGGGCACTTTCACTGGCCTGGACTGCATGACGGCTGTTGGTTTGGGGAAAATTCAGCCTCACGTTTCCTCCATCTTTAGTTTCCCTGTTTATTCTCTCCCTGCTATTCAGTGCAAACGTCTCCGCTCACATCACTGTACCCAGATAACCAAAACTCATTCTGTCCACACTTGTGTTAAACGTGGTCAGATCCGTCTCTGACCCTCTGAATGTGGTTTGATCTGATCATAATCCGATCACAGTGTGTCCTGGGAGTGTTTACACCTGGATCTACATGCAGTCGAGTGGAATCTGAATGTGGTCCGGTCACTGAAACACAAATTAATGTAGGGTGTAAACAGGCCCAGAGACGGATTTCATACATATTTACCACGAGTGTGAACAGAATGTGTTTTCACAGATTAGCAGGTGAGAGAAAGACGGAGGAAACGTGAGGCTGAAGTTCCCCAAAGCGAAAGTGTCCAAACTGAGCCTGAAGTTTCATGTTGTGATGAGGGGAAAAGGCAGAAAGAGTAAAACAGAAACAGTGTGTGTTGATGTGCTTTTAATGTGGGAAAAGTATCTGATCTGATCTGGACACAGTGGGAACACATTTTAATGAAAAGTGTTAATATAATCCAGCTAAAGTTGATCCAGAAGACTGTGTTGTTGTATTTTTAATCTTTTTTTTTTCATTTTATTGTTTTAAGACTTGTGTATCTGTAGCGCAGGTGTGGAAGCTCAGAAGTCACAGAAATCAGGCCTGTGGATCTGATCTGATCTGGTGTTTCTGATCGTGTTTGTATATTTGACGTGTACAAACTATATGAGAAAGAAACGATATAGGGAAGAAACTGAACTCCCATCATTTGGGGGGCTTCATGCCCCCCAGATCAGCTGCTGACGCGCCGGAGTCGGATCATTTAGGAGTCAATGTAAACTGAATCTGGGTGTTGTTGAAGACAGTCTACTGGAAACTCAACACAGTGTCTAAAACAGTAAAGTGCTTTTAGAGTCAGTCAGAGAGCTGGAGGGAATAAGGAGTTGACAGGTTTTAACTAGATCTGATTCAGAAAGGCTTTTAAAGAGCAAATAAAGGTCTTTTAAACGTAAATGTAAAGAACGTCACCAGCAGAGAAACCAGCGCTGTAATAAATTAATAAGCGAGTATATCGAACTCCAAACGACAGACAGCGGAAGTTCAGATGAAGAAGATAGACTGACTGAAATTCAGTTGCAGTCAGAAAAACTCAACAATGAAATGTTTTTAAAGACAAAAATCCAAGCAGGCTTTGATCTGAAATGCGCGAGATGTGATAAGAAGACTAAGAAGGAGGGGAAATAAGTGTATTGGGGGCAGAAATGAGAATGGCGACATCACTGAAAGTCAATATGATGAAAGGGAAATGATATGAAAACAGACATTTTTAGATTCAGGTCCAGCATTGAAGGGGAAAATATGAAAAGTAAAGAAGTAAAGAAGGAGGAAGGGCTGAAAGATATTCAGGATCAAAACGTGGGTAAAAGTCCGAAGCTGCCAGCTGAGTTTTATAAATCTTGTCCAGATGTTCTCGCTGACCTCTTGGCATCTGTTCATAACGAAGGACTAGAAAATGGAGCTTTATATGATTATTTTTATCACTGTGTGATTTCATTCATCTTTAGAAAGGGGATCGCAGTGATCTGGACAACTGGACACACATTTGGACAAATGTAATGAATATAGATTAGTAAATCTTGGCTGAAGTGATGGTGAACAGAGTGTCAGAGGTCATGAATAGAATCACTGAGATTGAGCAAAGGTGCAATAAGGGGGAGATACAGAATCAGCTAAGAGAGATCAGGGCTTTTATATAGTCGGACTAGATCAGACAGGCCTTTGATTTCCTCTCCAGAGATTACTTATGGATTGGACGGTTAAACCGGAGAAGTCTATTAATATGATTAAGTTGTTATATAAAGAATCTGAAGTCCACATTAATGTAACCTAAGGATATTTAAATAGATAGAGGGGCTCCGCTCTGTGTGTGATCGCCATCAGCCTCTGCTGCACACAATGAAATGTGCACACACACATCTTCTAAACCGCTTATCCTTCTGGGTTGTGGGGGGAGCTGAAGCCTATCCCAGCAGTCATTGGGTGGAAGGCAAGATACACCCTGGACAGGTCGAAATTAAGACAGAAAAAGAAAAAAATATTAAATCTTAAATTATAAGAGCAGAACTCAGTGATTAAGACGTTTGTCTAATCTAAATGTTATTTTTAGCCACTATTTTTCCTCCAGATGAAAAACGTGTGATGAGATTAAACAAATGTGTGTTCATTTTATTTGGGGAAGCAATAGAGGAGTAACAAAGCGGGAGGTTTTATATAAACCCAGACAGAAAGAAGGCCTCAGTGTGGTGGAGCTGGGGAGAAAATTAAAAATTGCACTTTGTAAAAACGAAGCTTAAGCCATGAGCAGAAACTCCGCGTGGATAGGAAATAAAAATTCTTGGGAGGAAAAAAGGCAACAAAGTGAGGCAAAACCCTCCTCTTTTATGGTGATTTCATATCAAAATATGAAAAACTGAATATTGATTGGAAAAATTCCCCAAATAAAACTATTTTTAAATCATACAGGACAGTGATTGTGGAGAGATGATCAATTATAAACATTTAACCCACACTGAAGGACAAGTTTGTGTGAAAAACATTTTATCCGAAAATTTATCTGAGAACGTAAGTGATGTGATGTGGCTGGTGGCAGCTGGCAGACTGCCAGTCAGATGTAATAGAGCTGTTAAAACATGACTGACTGTAATGAAGATGAGATTATCATTGGATTTTCCTCCAGAGAAATCTGGAGGAAACTGATGCACATTGGTCTGAATTGTAATATTATCCTGAAAAGTGTAATGTGTGGAATTTTTAATGGAACTTTTTCAAAATGTTTTAGAATTTTATTGCTTCATTGTTTGTGTTGTTAATGCTAAGATGTGGACGAGGCTGTAAAACGGTTATTGAACAATGTGAAATACCTGCAGAAACTGTTCTTAAACAACTATTGTGTGAGCTCAAAAGACCAACAGACACTCGAGGAGGAAAAAGCTCCCCTGGACTCTGCTGGACTTTTAATCACTGACGCATCATCCTGAATGTGATTAATTACATTGTATAATACTGAAATGTTGATATATTTGTATTCTGCATTTCATATTTTTGTACTCTGTATTTGAAAATGTCTTTGTATTGGAATCATTTTCCTCAGTAAAGTTTGTTATAACAAGTAAAAGCTTTTTCCTCCCAGTGTCTTTAGAGGTAATGTAGTGCTGTCTGTTCCTTAAGTCTCTCTTCCCTTGACTCAGAGTTTTTACATTTCAGTAAAATCTCAGCATTTGAGGCCCTTTGGCTTATGCATGTTTGGATATGTGACACTACCCTAAAAGTGAAATTTACGGTAAAATACTGGCAGCTTGAACTGTTGTTCGTGTACCGTTAATTACTGTGAAAACAGCATATATTGTAAATCTGTATGCAGTAAATTACATTTAAAAACAACAGATATACTGTTACCATAATTACAGTCCATCAGTGATAAACCCAGTACAACCGTATGACACATTACAGTATTTTACTGCAAAGCTCAGCTTTACAGTACATTACCGGCAGCTGTGGTTGCCAGAATTTCACTGCAAAATATACAGTACAATGCATAAGGAATTACAATTAGTGGGCGTAGATTTAACAGTCAATATCTGCTAATGATTAATTATAAAGGAAACAACAAATAACACAAATAATACATAAATAACAAAGTTACAGACTATTTTGATAAACCTTAAGAAAGTTTTCTTGCATGATCCAATAACTGGCCCAGGATACACACAAAGCAGTGTTGAGATGTTGAGAAAACAGCATGTGTCCATATATATACAGGATAATCCGTGGTGGAATGAATAAACATAAAATAAATAAACATTAAAAAATAGCCACTTGCCCTGGTTGATCAAGAATAATGAGTCACTTGACCGAAGAGGGGGATCAATATGGGACAGAGTCTCACACGGACATGATGTTGGATGATGACTGAGACTTAAAGTGTGCACTGTCGCCAGTTCTGCATGAGGACTCACATGTTGACCATCAGGTGTTCACTACTGACCGGCATGACCCTCTCTGTAGCCAGAAAACAGAAACAAAGCAAAAGTTAGATTGATGCAGTGCTTGAGCATGATACCCACACAAAGATAAACACAAGGCCTTCTGCTGTTAAACTGCACTCAAAAGTATATATAGGAGAAACCCGAATTCTGGAATACAGCGTTGCCGGTCACGTTTATAGCTGATAAAGTTTGGGTGCGAATGGTAGAAAAGGACACATTTCAACACTAAGCCATCATCAGACACCTTAGTAACCAACTAATCCACTCGAATGACCACCTGGCATCTGGTAACCATCTAGTTCACCTTAGCAACAACCTAGAAACACCCCAGCAGCCAAAAGTTACATCTTAGCATACATATATAGATTTCTCTGGTTCGCTCAACGTGCCCTGCGATGGACTGGCGACCTGTCCAGGGTCTACCCTGCCTTCCACCCAATGACTGCTGGGATAGGCTCCAGTTCCCGCCGCGACCCAGAAGGATAAGCGGCTTAGAACTTATGTAAATAAAACAGGTACAATGGTGTTTTTCCAAAAAAATAAATTACACTTACTGGCCACTTTATTAGGTAATGCTGCCCTGTATTTACTTACTTTTTCTATTGAATCAGGTCCATTAAATAAATATGTGCACTTTGTAGTTCTGCATTTGCAAATTGTAGCTGATCTTTTTCTCTGCATACTTTGTTGGCCCCCTTTCACATCATTCATCAATGATCAGGACCCACCAAGACCACCATAAAGCAGGTATTATTGGTCAATTCTCAGCACTGCAGTGACGTGTGTGGTACTGGTACTAGTGTATCAGATTGAGGTGATTAAAACATTGCTCTATGTCACTGCTGGACTGAGAATAGTCCACCAACCAAAAATATCCAGCCAACAGCGTCCTGTGGGCAGCGTCCTGTGACCACTGATGAAGGACCAGAGGATGACCAACACAAACTGTGCAGCAGCAGATGAGCTATCGTCTCTGACTTTACATCTACAAGGTGGACTGACAAGGTAGGAGTGTCTGATAGAGTGGACAGTGAGTGGACACAGTGTTTAAAAACTCCAGCAGCACTGCTGTGTCTGATCCACTCAGACCAGCGCAACACACACTAACACACCACCACCACGTCAGTGTTACTGCAGTGCTGAGAATGATCCATTAGTAATACCTGTTCTGTGGTGGCCCTGCGGTAAAAAAGGGAAAAACAGGGGTAACAATGTATCCAGAGAGACAGATGGACTATAGTCTAAGTTAGGAGCACCGCAAAAACGGCCAGTAAGCATATATGTACAGTATGTATAGGTGAGGGAGAGACAGCAAGTAAATGAACATCTGAATCCCACCTGCTAAATACACTCAACTCTTAACAGATGTGGTCTCTGGTCAATTTCTTTGTCACCTGCAGTTTGTGAAGACGGATTCCTCATGACTGCATCTAAAATGAAGAAATAAATGAGCAAAATTTGTAACAAACACTGACCATACAAAACAGAATGATGAAGAATCCTGAATGAATAGTAAACAGTATCAAAATAAATCTACAAAGTGACAAGAAAAAGCAAAGGAATATGAAAAACAATACAAGAAAGAGCAGGTTATTGTGAATAACAGTGTACTATGTCTTTCACAATAGCACACAACCTTCAAAGTCCTATTGTTTTCATACAACAGTTTCGCAAAATAAGAAAAAAAAAAAAGCAAAGCAGGTGAGTCAAATATCTCAAAATACATAATACTGGCAATGCCTTGTGCTAAAAGATGTAATAAAATGTTTAGTGTAATATGTACTAATATTACAAAGAGAAATACCATAGAGATTTTTCTGGCTTCTTCTGGAGTAGGTGGTCAGCGAGGAGCAGGGTGGACAAAGTACTCAACTTCTTAGTTGTTGTGTAAGACTGGTGTTAGTAACTTGAGTAAAAGCAGAAGTGCTCTGGGTTGAATACTACTTGTGTAAAGGTGTTCAGTCAACATTTGCACTTAAGTTGAGTACATAAGTATCAGAAGTACAAGCACTCTAAGCTACCATAGAAAATATATCATTTTGGTGAATACTTTCTGTTAAGGAGACCCAGGTGGATACAGACATGAACAGGTAATGTCTGCAGCCACACAGGACTCCTTCACAGAAAGTATCCGCCAAAATGATATAACTGCAATAACACTCTGTACTACTTTTACTTATGATATTTTGATCAAGTACATTTAAAGTCAACCTGAATCAAAGTGGAACTTTGTTAGTTCATGTTTATCCTTTTCACTTTGCTAGTTTATCTTGCTAATGTCCACAATTTCTTTGTGTATATGAGACAAAATTCTTATTTTGCCACAATCTTGAAGTATAATGACTTTTGTAAATAAATAAAATAAAAAATAACCAATAGTATTGTTTTGATGCATTAAAATTTCTGATTAAAGTCTCCTTTTTAAAGCAAGAACTTTTGTAAGTAAAGACAAATACTTTTCTATTTAATTAAGTAAATTTCTACTTTTACTCAAGTCTGGAATTTTGTACTTTGTTTATTCCTGGTGAAAAGGCTCCTGAAGCTGCAAATGTGGGGAGTGGGTAGGGGGCCTAGAAGTAGAAGAAAAAGAGACCCTGAAATAGGACTTATAAAAAATAAGTTTGTCTGTATACAATGGAAGCAGATATATGCCCCAAAAAAAAATAAATAAATAAAATAAAAAACGTCACAAAACTGCTTTCACAAAAGTTATTAGTCAGTCAACAGTCAGTCTTGAGAAACACAGACAAACTAGTAACTAAATACTGACTTGAAGACACACATTTTCATCTTATTCGATTACAACTGTAAATAATACGTCAGTGTAAACAAACCAGCAACATGTCAGAGAAAGAGAGGCAAATAAAAGCTGCTTCCATACCTGAGAAATGCTGGAGGTAGAAAAGATCTGGCTAAGCCTGAAAACAGGGACATAAGAAGAAGAACAGATGTTACTAACTTCAGCCTGATATAGGTTAGGACAGTAACCTCACTCGAGAGCTTGGTACCAAATCGCAGCTCAGTGGGCCTCATTAACCTAACTACTGTTTCAGCTGTACTATACTCGACGTTTCTCCCTCAGATGCTGTTTTACTCCCCAAACTCTGTGAGAGAAGCATCTAATCTGCTCTGTGGTGTGAGAGCCCGTTAGCCTGCTGGCCACCAAGCTAACAGCCCCACCCATCACAGAGCGCAGTGAGCGAGCTAGTTCCTGCTTCTCTGTCGCTACAACACCACAGCCACTCGACGTGTCTCCTTCAGATTTGAGCTGATGAGCCCCGACCCAAAGAAGCAGTTTAGTAGAGCTGAAAATACTGTTAAAATATAGAATAAGAGTCCTGATAACACCAGAGACCTACATCACTGTGACTAATGAAATTTAAAATAAAATACGTATTTTTAAATGTAGTAAAACAGTAATGACATAAAAAGTAAACATGAATCTGTTTCATACAAATTCCTCAGTTAAACTCTCAAATGTTGAAAGTTGGTTTTGTGCTGAGCTATTTTTCAGATGCAGACCGACTATGAAACAGGATGAAAAAGAGAAATCAGGTAAATCATAAGGGAAAAGTATTTAATCTTAGCTCAGCTGTGTACAGTTGGTCTAGCTGGCTAGCTGTGCTTAAAGATATGATTTATATAGTTTTCGCTTTTATGGCTAAAAAACGAGTTAAAATAGTTTCTAATCACTGAACCAGAACTTTCCTTTAGTTTTAGACAGCAGAGGAAAGAGTTTCACTAAAGAACAGAGAAACCTCACCTGTATGTTTCCTTTATTCTACAGTAAACGGGTTTGGGCAGCAGGAGGAGGGCTTTACTGCTACTGGGTGCTGATTGGTTAACATTACTGCTACTGGGTGCTGATTGGTTAACATTACTGCTACTGGGTGCTGATTGGTTGGCGTGCAGAGCAGCTCATTGGCTGTTCGCGCTCATAGAGGTCAACTACATGAGGCGCCATTTTCAAGCATAGACCAGCTCTGCATTGGGTGGGAACGGGTCTGGAGCAGCGGATGTGATTCTGGTAACTCTGAGCGGTGTAACACAGTAAACAGACAGTGAGATGATCCGGACCGCCCTGCATTCCTTTCTGTGTACGGCGAATCTAACCGTTACGATCGATTGCCAGAATGGAGTTTAATCGCATTTACTAGTTAACCGTCTGGATAAACAACCTCCCGATGAGCGCCCGAACACAGTATTAGCCCCTCATCTGCACTGAGGACGAGACAGACACACCGAATACGGCGATGATCCATACAGGTTCAGTTTTAGCGCTGCTGGGTTTGAGTTTTCTTCTGTCTGATGTTGCTGGAGGTGAGTTTTCTCTCTTCACTCTGACTGAAGGTCCTCTCTGTCCTAAAGGCCGTTCAGCTCAGTTTGTATTGAAATGTTTGTGGTCATTAAAGGCCTCAACTGGCGAATCTTCATCTTTGATTAATCACCTAACTGAAGAGTACAGACAGTGAAACACTGTGTAGAGTATTAATAGAATAATATCAGGTAAAATATGAGCGAATGGTTGAACGGAAATGGAGGCCTTGACCAAAACAGAACTGATCTGACCCAGTAAAGTCGTCTCGGCTGTAACTCCGGACTGCAGTAACGCTACATCCACACACACTGCTGGCTTTATCGGTCCTGACCTGTCAATTCAGGTGTTCAAAGCCCAGCCCCGCCAGTTTTACACACCGGGTTCATCTTCTAAAGCTTGGAACTTCAAATGCTGAGCTCTCAGATGAGTGACAGCAGGTTCAGACTGCCCAGACTGTGAGTGAGTACAGAGTGTATGGAAGTGAAATAGAGGCGTTTCTTTACTTTGCCGTGTGATTTTCAACACAAATGACTTCAAAATCGATGAACGTGTTGATTTAGCAGAACTCGATTTGTGGAAAGATTCACAAGTGGAGCTCGCCGAGTTTGACCGCCCCCTACAGCTGTACCTCCTCAGGAATGAGACTGTCTGACTCTGCAGTTTAATTCCATACAGACATTATCAGTAACCCTGCAGATCCCCTGCTGTCCATATTACGGGATTTTGTGATCTTGTTTTATACAGGTCAGTTTCCATTATTGGATTTATGCAGTTCTGCTCCCATTTTCATGTGTAATAACACAGTAGTTCAGCTATTGGTGGCATATATAGATCATTAGTGCGTATAACTGTAATAACTGATTATATACAGAGATACCAGCACACTCAAATGAACTTTAGTGTAAAATACAACTCAACTCCAAAAACAGCTTGAGTAGAATAACAGAAGTAGGGCTGGGCAACATGGACAAAATATTATATCACGATACTTCGAGACATTTTCACACCACACAGTGTACATCACAACACACACACACACACACACACACACACACACACACACACATATATATATTTATTTATTTATTTATTTTACTGCCTTTACGAAGTTGTAGAAGACAAAATAGAACTTGTAGTGCCGCATATAAACTTTATTAATATTTTATAAATCTGCATCTACAGTGATTTTTGGTGGTTTGATTTTTGATAGTTGATGACATCCACAATATGCTCAGAAAAGCATACTGGGACATGATTTATCACAGTAACAATAAAATATCATCATACTGCCTCCCATAAACCAAACAAACACACTCTCAGGAAAGGTACCACACTGTAACTGTAGTGGTGCCATCAATGGTACCTTTCAGTACTTTAGTTAGGGAACACAATTGGTCCATACTCTATAAAAATTATATATATATATATATATATATATATATATATATATACATATATGTGTGTGTGTGTGTGTGTGTGTGTGTGTGTGTGTGTGTATATATATATATATATATATATATATATAGTCTATGAGTTCAGTGCAGTGACTGCCCCCCATCTGCACCCATCTGCACCACTTACTCACTGTTCAGGTAATTGTTACACTTCATCAGTGGAAGAAGGAGAAAGAACGGCTAAGAATTCAGTAAAATGGGACTGTTTTGATTGTATTTGTAAGTATGTTATGTTATACTTTGAATGTGTTACCATGGATACGTAGTTAAGGATGTGACTGAGAAGGCTGAGATGGCGCGGCGGTGTTGCTAACTACTGTAGCATGTTGGTATGTCATCCACTGAGGTGAAAATACACTATGTGGCCATAAGTATGTGGACAGCTGACTCTCACACCTATATAAGCTTTTTGGACGTCCGATTCTAAAACCATGTGCAGTAACATGGAGTTGCGCCCCTTTGCGGCTCTAAGAGCCTCCACTCTTCTAGGAAGCTTTCCACAAGATTTTGGAGTGTATCTGTGGGAATTTGTGTCCATTCAGTCAAAAGAGCATTTATGAGGTCAAGCACTGATGTTCTGGCTCACAATCGATGTTCCAGTTCACCTCACGTTAAGAGAGACTTGAAAGGAATCAGATCTTGATCAGGACATCTGTATTTTATATGCTTGAGATAAATTATGATCCAGTTCAGGTGTTATTGGAATATAAAAAGTTAAAAGAATGAAGTTTTATTGTTGACGTAAAGGAATACCTTGATCTAAATTACTGCTCCTGTTTATTGTAGTGAAATCATTGTTTAATATCCAGTCTTTTTATTTCTCCACAGATGAACACTCTCTGTATTATCTCTACACTGTCCAGTCTAAAAGCTCTACAGACAGAGTCTCTGAGTTCAGTGCAGTGACTCTGCTGGATGACAGACAGATTGACTCCTACAGCAGTACAGACGGGGTCAGGACTCCTAAACAGGACTGGGTGAAGGAGATGAAGGAGAGTGAGTGGACAGCAGGCACTGATAAACTGAAGTACGATGGACACCAGTTAAACAAGATCCTCAACATACAGATGAAGGACTTCAGACACGATGAGTCAGGTGAGAAAATGCACATCCGATACACAGCCATTTATAAAACATGGACATTGAGTCTACCTGGATTAACATAATAATAATAATAATAATAATAATATCAATAATAATAATTATTATCAATAATAATAATAATAATAATAATTAGTTATAGAGCACTTTTCATACTGGTGGCAGCTCAAAGTACTTTACAGACAGGTGATAATGTTTTACAGCAATAGACAAGACAATGACAGATCAAAGGATTTTATCAGTCAAGCTCAGTTCACACATTAAAGAAACGTTTAAAAATGTATGTCTTGTTCCGTTTTACTGAAGGTGTTTGTAGAAGATCATTATCAACAGATCCAAGATCACATGCTGGAACATAAACAGACAGGCATTCTGTGATATAAGTGGTGCTTTAAGGTCATTTAGAGCTCAAAAACTAATAGCAGAGCTTTAAAATCTATCCTGAGTGATACAGGCAGTCAGTGCAGCAGTGAAGCGGGACTGATCTGATCTCTCTGTGTTGTTTCTGTTAGGATGTTCTGTACGAGCTGTAGAGGATCTATTGTTTTTTTGGGAAGTCCAGTAAGAAGATCATTACAGTGATCAACTCTGACTGTAACAAACGCATGAACAAGTTTCTCTGTGTCGCTCTGAGAGAGAAAAGGCTGAACTTTAGTGATTTTTAGATGTTAAGGTTCTGGTCCAGCAGGGAAAAACACACACACTGTTAGCTCACTCGCCTAACAACACAGCTCTCACTGTAAAGCTAGCCACCACCAAAAACACACATTCTTTCAAAATACAAGTCCTTAGCACGACCTAGAGAACACAGCCCAATGCTATTAGTTATTTTTTTATCACTAAATAGAACATGACATGCTTCACAGGCCTGGATCATTAAGTTATGGGTTGTACCTGGCTACCTTTTTTGAGTGGTCAGTGATTTTTTTTTTTTTTATATATATGATCTCACAGCAAGTTAAGTAAAGCCTATTCAGCACCACAATGGCAGCATATTACCCAGTGTTGGCACATCACCACTGTGAGTGCAATTTTTTCCAAATTGAGACAAAACAGTAGCAGAATCACTTCAATCACATCATATATGAAAAACAAACAAAGATAGAAAAAGCAGCAAACTGTGAAGCTGCTTAGCTAAAGTTACTGCCACGGTATAAGAACCTGAAAGCTTGAGTGAGATAATGAAGAATAGTGTAATGGTTACTAAGCAGTGATTGGAGGTGAAAAATATACTGAAAGACGTCAACAAACCACAGGCCGTCTAAAAGCTTCACTGACAGAGCTGTGGACTGGGGTGTGTGTTTAATAAAGTTTGTAACGGATTACGTTTTTACTCAGGCTGGCTACGAGGCTACGAGGCTACGAGGCCAAGTCACTTGAACGTTGGCAATGAGGTCTTAAAGGCTTGCAGGGCTGAGCCTTCAAGCGCTGAGGCTAACTGCACTTGAATGCACAGACAGGGCAGCACTGATGTGCACTGAGGAAAGCGTGTCCTGATGTTATAATTCACTACTACCTCGTTTATTTTGGACAATTGTAAAAAATCACTTGTGTCTAATTTATTATTTATTATTATTTATTGTTGTTGCCTCTTAAAGTTTGCTCATTTTATTTTAATGCCACTCATTTCTGTTCCTTCTCTGTTGTTTTCAGTTCACGCTGTAAAGCACTCTGAGCTGCACTTTAAATATATGAAAGGTGCTACATCCATAAAGTTTATTATTATTAATATAAATATGATCACTTCCTCACCCTCTGAGTAGAGGGGTCAAAGGTGATGGTTATAAAGATTCCTCTGCTGTGCTGCTCATCACTGACACATCCAAACAGCACCAGAACCCTGATTAGTGTTGCCAGATTGGGTGTAATTATTAAATAGAACAAGTTAAAAAAACTTGTTGTTTATCATTAGGGCTGTATCTGTTAACCAAGTTACCATGGGAACAGCTTCCAGTGACAGTAACAGCTGATTTACAGCCAGTGTTATAAACATACCTGAGCCGATCAGTAAGAGCTTATTATTGGTGTGTTTAATGAGTGTAATGATAAAGTGATCATGTGATTAATGGAGAAGAGCAGATCACACAGCAGAAACAGCCTCGTATTATTACTGTTTTTACGTCTGCATTACAGGGTTAATACTGCATATACTGAATTTAACACAGATCAGATCTACAAACACGACTGCTGAGCTGCACTGATTCAACACAGTTAGGGGGGGCAGTGAAGTACGACCACAACCTTTACTGAACTGACCATATTATGATATTAAAACTCGACTCACACGATATCACTGTGTTTCTCCTGCGAGTTAGGAACTGTCTGAAAATGATTTTTTATTATCATTGTTCTACTTATTATTATTATTATTATTATTATTATTACTATTATTATTAGTCCATGTGTGTATAAACCATTTGTGGAAATAAAAAATAAAAGGTAAATCAAATGAAAACTAAGTGACAGAGACATGATGCTGATCCTTTCTTTGCTCATGTCTGTGAGATTATAGGCGTGTTCTGTAACACAGACAGATAATCTGTATCTGGCTTTGCTCACATGAATCATTCTTTATATTTCAGATGGTCACTCTCTGCAGTGGAGAATCGGCTGTGAGGGTGAAAAACAATCTGACGGCTCAGTTTCAGGTTTAAACTGTATTAATGAATACGGCTACGATGGACAGAGTTTAATCTCCTATAACTGGACCTTGAAGAAATGGTCAGCCTTAGTCAGTCAAGATGGGATAACAGAGGAGTGGAACGCTGGACGCGGTCCAAACGCTGTTTATAATTGTGAAGAGTGTGAGCACTGGCTGAGGATTTATTTACAGTACAACACCACTGAAACCAAACAGAGTGAGTATTTAGAAACTGGCTATGATCAGATTAATAACTTAATTATTACTTTTAGCAGATTAATAGTGGTAGTAGAGGTGTGATTATTATGTAGGTATTTTACAGACAGGTAAAAAAACAGGTTGTACTTTTGTGTATTTTTTGTAGTCATGCACACTGAGTGAAGTGGTTAACATGGTATTGAAGGGCAATTCCACTGATTTTTCTAAATTTCTCCATGTATAGATGTAAATAAGGTCATTCAGAGTGTTTTGGTGTGAAATGGTTCAGATGTCTTTTCAGTGGTGGTGATAGGAACCAGGCGTCGCCATGACTACAACACAAATATAGACACTTTCTTTACTATCCAGAACCATCAGTGATCCTAGAATCTAGAAGCATTAAACTCTTCAGACGACTGTGAACAGTTCTGACTCTGAGTTTCTCTAGAAAGGAGCGTTTCACACCAAACCACTCTGAACGACTCTGTTTACATCCTCACTGTTTAATTATGCAGAAACTCTCTGTATCTATAATTCTACTGTAAGCAGCAAAGCTGCAGAGTTATGACACAAAATTATCACCAGAACTTGAATACATGAGCAGTCACACATGTCTGTGTCAGAACATCTCACTGATTCTGAGTAAATGTTTCACTGGGCATTTGTTTTCTCTCCAGCTCGAGTGGATGTTTATATGTTTGTGAAGAAATCTGTAACTGACTCGACCAAGCTGACCCTGACCTGCCTGGCCACGGGCTTCTACCCCAAAGACGTGGAGATTACACTGAGGAAGTTCACCACTTCACTGCCTGAACATCTACTAACATCTTCAGGAGTCAGACCCAATGATGATGGAACCTACCAGCTGAGGAAGAGTGTGGAGATCCAGGAGGACGATACAGCAGATTATTATTGTTATGTGAATCACAGCTCCCTCGGAGAGCCAGTGATAAAAAAATGGGGTAAGTATATATTATATCCATGACGATATTCTGGCTGATTGTTCGCCAGTTTGAGGAGATTGTAGTGAAGTTATTGCAGTTATTAGTCTTTGTTTAACAGCAGTAAAATGGTAGATGTGCAGAAACCAAAATTCATCAAAAAATACATTTCGTGTGGTAAACGTCTGAACACTTGCTCAGTTTAATGTTACGGATCATCCTAGTCAGAGGTGAAACACATTTCAGACTTGCTGATTTTATTAAAACAAATAACTGAACATTCCATTTTGACTTTACCAATACAATAATAACACTACTGAAGGTTTATCAAATGTTTCAGTAGTGACTTTTTCAGGAATGACAATTTTAACTCATTTTGAGCAGAACACAAAAATGCCAGCCAGTACATGACCAACAAACACAGCTTTGAACAGAAAATCATCATATTTTTATTAAAACACAAAAAAGAGTTTACTCAAAGGGGAATTACGCTGATGTAAACAGAGTGATTCAGAGTGGTTTTATTTACTATCCAGAACCACCAGTGAACCTACACGAGTCTTCTGAGTTTATATGGATGATATGTTGATGATGGAAAATAGTGGGAAATCTGAAATAATACATTTTCTTTGGGGACTATTTTGCCTCACAACACATGTGCACATACCTTTGCACAATAAATGGATATTAGAAAATACATTTTAGACCAAAATCTTCTCTGAACTATCGTAAAGTGCTGTGAGGTAGCTTGTAGAGGTGTAACGATGCACTCTACTGATTATGATTCGTTGATTCGTTTTGCAATACTAAGTTCACGATTCGATTTTCTTGATTTTAAACACAGTTTGAATGAACAAAAATTATGAATGACATTCTTTGTTTTGTTTCTGACGTGTTAATGGTGCAAAACAATGCATTCGCTTGTACACGTTTTTAAACCAAAAACTCTAGTCCCCTGCAGTTAAAGGAAATTACTTAAAAGAGCTTAAATACTGCAAACAAAATATTCTATTGTAGCTTCAGCATATCTTAAATATCAAAGTGAAAACATTCCTTTTTTCTGAAGATTAACAGTTCAAATAATTTCTACTTTTTTTTACAAAATATAACAAATTTCTATTTAGTTTAAACAAAAAGAAACTTTAGCCTTTAGCTGGCTGCAGTAGTCTTTCTATACTTCTTTAGAACCTCTGACCAAAATGTTACACACAGGCTCTACAGTGCCCTCTGGTGGAGTTATTCAATATGTGAATGATAGATTGTGAATGGTTGTTTATCAGAAATCCTGATGTTATTTTATTTTTTTACACTTTCATGACTGTTACTTTTTTTTTAAACTGGACTCATTCTTACTTATGACCTGTTTCAAAAAGGAGTAAAATATAAACAACATAAATAATCATACATCAACACTTGAAATAAAGTAATAGAGTTGCTGTAGGCTTACAGTAGGTCTTCTGTTAGATTACACTGGATCCTGAGCTCTAATGGTGGAATGGTGGAAGTTCAATAGAGATGCAGCACCCAAACCCACCCAAACTTAAACAGTCTCTGCCTGTGACCATCACTGGTACAAAACCGGGGAATTTGGAGGTTCATTTGAAGGCATCTGTCTCCTCCGGTTAAAGCTTTTCTAGAACATCAGGGGAATTTCAGTAGCTTAAAGCAGTGAGTTATAAAATAATTGTTGTTGTAAAATAGTGAGTTATAAAATAATTGTTCTCTGCAGATGATGGTAGAAGAACATTAGAACATTAGAACATTCTGCTGTCAGTACATTTAAATTAGTGATTGTTTTTGTCTACAGCATGCAGCGACTGCAAAAATGGTCCAAGAGGAAGAGTGATTGTAGGAGTGATTGTAGGAGTGACATTTGCTCTGGTGTTGATCGGAACAGCTGTTCAGATTTTCTGGGTTCATAGAGCTGGTGAGTATAGACTGTATAAATACAGGTTCTGTTTACAGTGGAAAACACAGTTTTAAAAACACTGTCATGTACTCTGCCTAGATATGTTCTCCAGAGTTTTACTAGATCAGTGCTGTCACTGATGTTTCCAGCTGTTCTTCAACTCAGTGTGTGACATTAGTGGCAGCTTTAGAGGTGAAATTATCAGAACTGAATCTGATCTCTTACATGTGTGGACAGCGGTGGAAAACTTTATAATAACCAGAACTGTAAAGACCCTCCCTTCATAATTTCACATCAGCCGGTCAGTTCTTAGAGACGGTGTTCTAACAGTCTCTAGAACCCACAGAGCGGCCCTGCTGTGAATGAGCATGTCATTAGTGTAGAATAGTCACTTAATATTTATAATGTTTTACTGTGTTTCAGTGTTAATTCAGCCTTATTTCAAGCATGTTATTTAGAGCTACAACAATTATTTGATACAATTTGATAATTAAAATATTCAAAAGCTCTTTTTGAATTACAGAGACTTACAGATCGGTAGTGTGAGATGCTTTCAGTTTAAATTTGTTAGGATTCTCTACGTCCAGCTGACTCGTATGAACGTCTGCAGAGATTCTGTCTGTGACTTTTACTCTTTATGAAATAGATCCAGAATGAATGATGAATAGTTTTGTGTAGGATTTGTTTAGTTTTAATTTCAGGTAAAAAAGACAATCATCATCAAACTGTAGCTTAAATAGCAATAAGTAGTTCATCACTGTGGGTTCAGGTGGTCAGTAGTTGGGCATCAGAATGTTTTTTCCATTGTTGTGTCAAAAATGTGTGAACATAAAATGTTTATACATTAAATAAATGAATGAATAAATTAATACTTTTAAATAACATACATTTTTTAATCTCTAATTCAAGATTGTGCAAGAGAGCGACGCAAGTCTGAAGGTGAGTGTTACTGTCATTTCACACTTCTGATCATCGTCTGTGGTGATACAGATTCAGTTTGAGGTTCAGTTGGACAGATTAGATTTTTATTTTATTGAGTTTCTAATTTTAACTCTGGCACAAAGTGCTTGTATTTCAGTTTATTTATTAATCTAATACGTTCTTCAGGTTCTTACTCACAATTTCAGAAATTACCTCTAGTGTTCAGCCACACAGGAAGGTCTTTTTAAAGTTGGGGTGCTGAAATTTTAAGCAGCGTTTATGTGACGTGAACGATGACGTCATGCAAAATGATTCACCTTTTTATTTTGAATTTTTTTGCTGATTTCATCAAACAGAGCGTTTTGTGACCTGCTGTAATGAGGACGACAGTTTATCATAACTGACACGTTAAACTGCTGATACTGATTTCGCTGCTCTCTCTCCTTCTGAATGAACTTTATGTAGATGAGCTGAGCGGCGACCAATCAGATTGTTAATGAGTTGCGGTAAAGATTGTGTCACACAGTTACACACTGAGGTTCAGCTCTCGAATAGAGAGACGATGGTTAATAAAAAATGAGTGTATTCACAGCGCTGGACATTATTACATGTTTAAAAAGAGGATTCAGCTGCTTTGTGGTTCAGAACTGCCCACAGCTCTGACCACACTTCCCTCTTTAACTTCAACCTGGGAGTGTTTTAGTGACGCCCCCAAAGCGGTCAGCAGGTCAGGGAAGTGATTCAGCTCTTAAACAGTGAACGGCTACTGCAGGGGTTGAAAATATACGGATAAAACATAAAAACTCAAACTCTAAAACAAACACACTGAACTTTACTGCGTTCAGATTCATTTACAGTTCAGATCTGTTTTAATTTAAGGAGTTTCAGTTAAAGGATCCTGAAATCTCAGCACCCCCACTCCCCCCGTCCTGCCTCAGCAGGCCATCTGTTAGGGTTGTTCTGCCCTCACAGTGCGTTCAGGCCTCCCTGACAGACAGTCAGCATATACAGTTCAGTAAATAAGTGACCACTCCCTCTACAGAGACACACTGCTGTACATTTAACACACAGTTACTGTTTATTTACTGAATTTAACACATTGAGGACAGAAGGAAAAATAAAATGGGGTCTGTGAAAAACTATTTTATGATGATCTCAGACACAGATGTGATTTAGCTTTACAGTAAATGGACACTGTTCCTAAAGAGGCCATTTTCCCTATTTTGCCCCGTTTTCCTTTAATCATTACACATTTATAGTAAATTGTGTGTAAAACTTTCTCTTCAGATGTGGTGAATGATGCACCGCCCACTCAATCAGATGAGCAGATTCCTATGGTGAATGATGCACTGCCCACACAATCAGATGAGCAGACTCCTATGGTGAATGATGCACTGCCCACACAATCAGATGGGGAGACTCCTATGGTGAATGATGCACTGCCCACACAATCAGATGAGCAGACTCCTATGGTGAATGATGCACTGCCCACACAATCAGATGAGCAGACTCCTATGGTGAACAGTGCACCGCCCACACAATCAGATGAGCAGACTCCTATGGTGAACAGTGCACCGCCCACACAATCAGATGAGCAGACTCCTATGGTGAAAAGTGCACCGCCCACACAATCAGATGAGCAGACTCCTATGGTGAATGATGCACCGCCCACACAATCAGATGAGCAGACTCCTATGGTGAATGATGCACCGCCCACACAATCAGATGGGGAGACTCCTATGGTGAATGATGCACCGCCCACACAATCAGATGAGCAGACTCCTATGGTGAATGATGCACTGCCCACACAATCAGATGGGGAGACTCCTATGGTGAACAGTGCGCCGCCCACACAATCAGATGAGCAGACTCCTATGGTGAATGATGCACTGCCCACACAATCAGATGGGGAGACTCCTATGGTGAACAGTGCGCCGCCCACACAATCAGATGAGCAGACTCCTATGGTGAATGATGCACCGCCCACACAATCAGATGCGCAGACTCCTATGGTGAATGATGCACTGCCCACACAATCAGATGGGGAGACTCCTATGGTGAACAGTGCGCCACCCACACAATCAGGTGAGATTAATTAGAGTGTAACTGTGATCTGAGCTCTGAGTCTCTACACACTGAGACGTCTTTACTGAACTGCTGTGTTTATCAGGATGATGATCTGAACTGACAGCACTGCTGATTCAGCACAGCAGCTTTTTAAAGCTTTTTGCTGTGATGTTCCTAAAAATTAAACATCAGTGAATAGAAATATTAAAATTCTTTGGTTGAATCAGTGCAGTGTGATTAGTGTATGATCTTCTCCAGACTCTTCTTTACCTGTTTTAATCCATATCCAGCTGACTCATATGAACATCTGCAGAGATTCTGACTGTGACTTTTCTCCTTTAGAAATAGATTCAGGGTGTTAGTGTTTTGGATTATAAATACATTTTTTACCTTCAGATAAAAAAAAAATCATCATCAAACTGTGCCCTTAAATAGCAATTAGTAGATTATTTATAATATTACTTTCATAAATGTGTCAAAAAATATGTAAACATAAAATATGTATCCATTTAAAAAGGAATAATTTGTTTAATTAATTTAATTACTATTTTATGTCTAATTAAAGGAGGTGAAGGTGATGTACAAGTCAAGCCTGTGAATCCTCAGCCAGATGGTGAGTGTTACTGTCATTTGCCACTTCTGATCATCATGTTTGGTGATACAGGTTCAGTTTGAGGGTCAATTTTACAGATTAGATTTTCTTTCTAATCTCCACACTGAGTTTCTCCTTTAGACTCAAATCACACAAATCACAGACACTGAGATTCAGCTCTCGAATGGAGAGATAAGGGTTAATAACACAGGAATGTGTTCAAAGCTCTGGACATTATTCTGTGTTTGAGTGTAAAGACAGAGTTTGGGTGCTTTGTTGATCAGAACTGCCCACAGCTCTGACCACACTTCCCTCTTTAACCTCAGCCTGGGAGTGTTTTAGTGACGCCCCCAAAGCGGTCAGCAGGTCAGGGAAGTGATTCAGCTCTTAAACAGTGAACGGCTACTGCAGGGGTTGAAAATATACGGATAAAATATAAAAACTCAAACTCTAAAACAAACACACTGAACTTTACTGCGTTCAGATTCATTTACAGTTCAGATCTGTTTTAATTTAAGGAGTTTCAGTTTAAGGATCAGCACTGCAAAATACACACAGACTACATTGAAAATGTGGTCACACCTGAAAAACATGCAAAACTATCTGGACGTCACCTACAAGAGTGAGAGCAGCGTGGGCCTGGTTTAGATCTGAAATGAAAGCTAACAAAGATAAACAGATCAGTTATGATGTAGAGCTGGGTTTATTGGTGTCACACTGACATTATCTTGTTTTCATGTTAACTTGTTTCTGGGAGCAGATGGACGGACAGACAGTGGACACACAGACACTGACTGTAAAGAAGATGTGGACCTTGTTCTGCCTCGACTCACTGGACACTGAAATACCAAGATAAGTATTACACAGAGGATCAAACTCTCCAAAAGGGCCCCAATTTTGCTTGTTGACTCTCATTGCAAACTGAAACCGTTTAGTATGATTAGCAGTGAAGCTGCTGATGGGTTCTCAAGAAAAACACTGTAGCTGAAGGGATGCAGCTCCAGCAGTGACCGCAGAGACATTGGTGGTCACTTTTCTCGAGACAGAGAACTCAAGATTAAACACCCTGCAGATCTTCTGTGAAAGTCACAGGATTATTATAAACTCTTGATAATGTTGAGGAGGAATAAACTGTTTCATGGGGAAATCTGACAGCTGGTTGGATAAACACTCAAAGTCTGAGACTGAAGGATTTCACATGGGAACAGCTGGATGGATGTACAGTGGATTCAAGGCACTGAGTGTCTGAAAAGAAGATGTGGACCTTATTCTGACCTCTCTTGGCCCACTGGACGCTGAAATGCCAGTGTAAGGACTACACAGAAGAGCGTACTTTACAAAAGGCCTCAGTTACGCTTTTTATGACCAGTCAAAACTGTTTGGTATGAGTAGCGATGAAGCCACTGATGGATTTTTAAAAGACACTGTAGCTGAATGGATGCAGCTCCAGCAGTGACTTCAAACACAGAGGAGGATATTATTCTGGAGTTAGAGAACTTGGTGGATCAGTCTGAGTCCTTAGTGCAGATACGGGGCTAATGCTGCGTTCGGGCGCTCATCAGAAGGTTGTTTATCCCAGATAGTTACTAGTAAATATGATTAAACTCCATTCTGGTGCTCAATCATAACGGTTAGCTTCGCCCTGTACACAGAAAAAGAAAGAAAGAAAGAAAGCAGAAAAAGAAAAAGAAAGCAGAAAAAGAAAAAGAAAGCATGGCGGTCCGGAGAATCTTACTTTCTCTTTACTGTGTTAAGAAGCACACAGATCTAATAGAAGCACATCTGGGGTCATTTTACAGAAACTTCTTACATCTATATTCTGATCTGTTTAGTCTCCATGACGACGTCAGTAGGGACTGAATTTAGTTCAGTAGCTATTCCAGAATAGCAGCTCTGAACTTCATAATCTCATCATGAACTCCAGATAAGAAATCAGCATCACACAGACATCCTAACTAGACTAAACCTCCTAAATCCTGTCCTAACTTTAGGATGAACCCCAAGTGCAGCGTTTTACTGCCTTTATCAGCTGTTCGAGCGCAATGTCCACGTTTTAAACACCACTCGAACGCAGCATAAACTCAGCCTCAGGACGCTGCTGATCCATCAGGAACATTCTGTGGTTCTTTCTCCACAGAGATGATCCACAAATAGGAGACAGAAGCTTCATTTATGGCTTCAGCAACTGAAAAACTAATAAAATAAGATGGCGACAAAGGGACCTAAGGAACCCTCCTGTACTGGATTCAGTGGTTTTGTGGAGTTAATTTTGTGATAAAAGTTGCACATAAATAATAAAATCCACAAGCAAAATATTAAGAATCAGAATGTCAGAAATATGGTGCACATAGAGTTAAATCAAACTTTTACAGAAGATCACTACTCATTTTCACTCATTCTGATATGAATTTATTACTCGTTTTGCCAATTTTTATTTTCGTTTTTTTCTGTTTGTTGATCTCACTGAAAGTTGTTTTTTTTTCTGGAATCGCTCTTTTTCTGACACTGAGGGATTCTGGGGTAGAAACAACAAAAGACTGAACAGCCACCATAAACCCAGAACTCACAGCCAACCAGGACAAGATGACTTGATTCCTTTTGTAGTGATTAAACATTACTGTCCATCCACTGACGGCAGCAGTGACTCATACAGTACGGGGTTTTTGACTCTTCACTGTGTTTAGGTCAGCGCTGCGTTGTTTAGGTCAGTGCTCCATTGTTAAGGTCAGCGCTGCATTGTTTAGGTCAGCGCTCCATTTGTTTAGGTCAGCGCTGGATTGTTTAGGTCAGCGCTGGATTGTTTAGGTCAGTGATTTCCTGACCCAACACTCCTGATCAGCTCATGAAGGCCTGATAATCAGTTGATGAGCTGGATCAGGTGTTTTACTGTAAGGAGTGGTTGAAGCCGTGTGGAGCTGCAGGTCTCCAGAAGCAGGTTAATAAACTCTGATTTAAACAGCTGTAAAGCTCACTGAGTTAGCACTATAGCAGACACCGCTAGGCTAGTTAGCACCAGCAAAACAAAGCTGCAGAAAGCTTTGTTTACCTAATATACTTTAATTTCCAATTTCACACAGGAACACAGGACCCTGAGTGTTACATTAACAAATATGACAAACATTGCTAAACAGGGTCAGACACGTCAGCACTGCCCTCTGACCAAACTACACAGAGTACGGAGAGCTCCACCATGTCCGAGAGCGTGGCTGTGTTCAGATGACCTGTCACTCCAAATCGGTTAACCAGTAAAGAATGACCTCTTCTCAGACCCGCCCCCTCCTAAAAAGTATACATAAATATAAGAAATTCATATCAAATGAGTGAAAATGAGTAGAAATCTGTTTGAAAAGTTAATTTAACTCTCATAATTTGAATTTGCAGAGTATTTTTGACATTTTGATACTTATAATAATATTTTGCTTGTGGATTTTATTTTTTGAAACTTTTGGCACAAAATTAACTCCATATGGTTTATTTTGTTTGCTCTTTGGTGCCACCTACCTGTGATTGTGGGTAGCTGCACTGAAGAGGAAGTGAGCTAATAGTGAATATTCAGGACAGGAAGTAGTTCAGAAACACTTTATTCTTCATGAACACATGGAGCATTTTAGTGTTTCAATCCTCTTAATCCTCTTAATCCTTAAAGTCCACAGAAATGGCTTAATCTGTAAGTCTTGCACTGTGTAGTTATTTGAATGTGTTTATGTTAATATTTCTGGGTTGAGTACAGATTTCTGTAATGATCTGATTACTGTCAGCTACATATAGACATATTAGTGTTTGGTGGTTAAAGCTCATAGTTTTACTAATGACACATTTTCTACATTCAGTCCTGCCAAGCAGAACAGCTGCTTTGTTCCTTAGAGGATGAAAGGCTGGAGAATCCAGCATTAAGGTGGCTGAACAGCTGAAAATACATAACAAACCGTTTAGTTTCTTTAAAGCTGTGTTTCTCTAAACAGCCCAGATGGTCCACAGGTTTACTCCAACCCAGCCGACATAAGGATGGAGCAGAAACGTGGACCGTCTGAGGGTCCCTGAGGACCAGTTTGAGAACCACAGATTTAAAGAACCATTTCTCTAAATGAGGTGTTGAAGTGTGAAGAACCTTTTTAACCTGTTTTCACAGCAGCTGTGAAATGAGTGTCAGCCTGTTTTTGGAGGTTTTTCAGTTCAGCCTGGAATTTTAATATTTCTAATTTAAACATCTGAATATTTTAATTACATTTTACTGTCTGCCCTGTGATGGACTGGTGACCTGTCCAGGGTGTATCCTTCTGCCCAGTGACCACTGGGATAGGCTCCAGCTCCACAGAGTGTTCACGCCGATCTCACTCAGTTTGACCTTCACTGGTTTTTATATATATATATATATATATATATATATATATATGTGTGTGTGTTGTTTGTCCTGTTTGATTTGCACTTGTATGAATTTTTCCATAATTCCATAATCTTACTGTTACTGAATGTTAAGATTATTTTGTTTGAAATTATTTCTCACTAGAGACAAAAAATAATAATTTATCATCAGTAAATGTGCTTTCATTACTCTGAGATCTGCTGCTGTAATTTGATCATTATTATTAATGTGTGAAAGAAATTCTGGAAATGCTTTTTCTGAATGTGATTTTTTTTATCAAGAAAATAAGAAATCATATTTTTATGAATGTCCTCTGTTTATTTAAGGAAACACTGTTAAATGCTGAACAGTGACTGTGGGGAGTGCTGGGAGTGGATCAGTCAGAAAATCTTTTTGTACTATAATATTTTATACTAATGCTGTTCTTTATCCGGTGTGGTCCAGAGGAGGATGGGTGTATTGTCGGCAAATACTTTTGGAAATATAGTGTGTGTATGTGTGTATATGACAACTGGTTAAAGTGGATCTAAAGGTCATTCTTTAAACTGCAGTAAAGTTGCTGTAAAATTGCTGTATATTTTCCCGAATGTATGTGTCTGTCTGTCTGCCCTGCGATGGACTGGTGACCTGTCCAGGGTGTTTCCTGCATTCCGCCCAGTAACCACTAGGATAGGCTCCAGCACCCAGTACCCGCGACCCAGGAGGATAAGCAGGTTAGATAATGTTTGTATTTATTGTCCATTTAGAAACATGATTTGTGCTAATTAGCTACTCTAGCTAACGCAAATAAAACCTTATCTATGCTCAGCTGAACAAGTTGCTCTGCTTACAGAACTTTAGCTGAACTGAGATTGATTAAATGAGGATAACAGGTGAGCTATATAGAGGTTCCTGAGCCATTACATTCTGCTACAAACAGTAAAGAAACCCTGTCCTATACGCTTATCTAGCATGTAACTGTCATACATGATCTCTTACTGTCAGCTAATAAGCTAACAGTTTCTTCCACGGCTGTTATAATCAACATTCACAAGAAAGCACGGCTGAACAGTGCGGCATCTGTGGCTGTATGACGGCTAATGTTACTGCTGTGGTCTCCTCTGCAGTGCCAGTCTGCTGAGTTCTCACTCCTGGCTGAAGCTGGAACATCACGCTAATTCAAAGCATTTAGCTCCTCTGAGAATTTATTTTCACCTGGTGCCTGAAGGGCGAGAGAAAGACAGAAAAGCTGCCCCCTGCTGGGCAAAAGTGATGTAACATGCAAAATGTTAGCCTTTTTTCATGTTACCCTTTCGCCACCCTGCTTGAAGAAGATTTTTTGTTCCTTGATGTCTGAAATTGTACAAGTGATGCTAGTAATACTTTTAACTGTTTTCGGTGTTTTACAGAGGCCCTGAGGGGCAGAGTTTAAAAAAGTGAATGAAATTTCATTCCCTCACAGATGTTTTGCATTCCAATGCAAACTGTTTGTGTTTTCATGCAAATGCTGTGCTTAACTTAAAATATAGCTTTGAGCAGAGGTCAGCAACCCAAATGTTAAGAATAGCCATTTTGTTCTTTCAATAAAAATCAAACCACCCTGGGAGCCACAACATTTAATGTCCATCTTACCATCTTGGCTGTAAATGTGTCTCAGGCATGAAACTTTTCAGCAAAAGTAGAATAGTTTCTTGTAAAATGTCTCAATGTTCGAGTTTTTACAAGGCTGTAAGCCTGTTTGAATTCTCCCGTTCCGCCTTAAATGGTCCAGCAGTTACATTCTGGCACCTCAGGCACCATTTAAGATGGAAAGGGAGAATTTGGAAAAGAAGCTGGCGAATGAGAAGCGACTTCAGCCTCATGACTTTTTAGTGTTTGTCAGTTTCTCGCTGCAGATTAAACGAAACCAGCTGGAGTGATTATGAATGTGAATAACTCCATTCGTCTCCAAATTATCGATGTTCGTCTTAAATCTCTCTCTTTGCCTTTTCGTTAGCTACTAGCTAGGCTTGTCTGTGTTGCTGTGGTGACCAGCAGTCTGTGCTGATCAGGGTTAAAGGGTGAATTAGTTGTAGGCTACATTAAGTCCAGTGTTTTACAAGGCATGAGTTTGGAAACACTATTGCTGAGTCTGACTCTACGTCTTTCTTGCTGCCATCTCCTCTCTTCTCCCTGCAGCCTTCTTCTCTTTTACCCTCCATCTTCTTCTCCCTAGTCCACCTCCCTAACCCATCAAAACTGTGATTGACATTCTGGAAAATGTGTTTATATTTATCTTTGCTGCTCAGTTCTCTTAGCTGTACTGTATGTACCTCAGTACTGCAGCACCTGACTGTATCTGTACTCATCTCCCACTGCACACCCTTTTACTTGGAGATTGTTTGTAAGCCATCTATTTTATGTCTCTATTTCATGTTTATATATAATATACATTTTTCTATGTTTATTCTATTGGATTCAATTTTAATGTTGATGCCTGCTACTTTGCGAATAAAGGTTCTGATTCTGATTCTGATTCTGATTGTGCTGTAGGGAGCTTGATTATGTGCAATGTTTTTGGACCAATATGCACTCAAAAGCTAATCAAATTTTTATCTAATAAAATCATAATTATTCAGCAGACGTTGCTGGTTTACCAGGTGTATTATATTGTGTAGGAGGTGCTTCATTGTGTACAGTCTGTAGTGAAGCAAAGTGGTGAACTCCTTAAACACTGACATTATTTCCAAGAATCAATAAATGTTCATCAATGTCGTGTCCATGACTGCCCACTGGGCTGCAGGACCCGTGAATGACCACCAGAGGGCGCCCTCTGTGGAACACTGAACTGCTGTTATGTGTGGTTGTCATGGTTACTGGTTCCTGTGGTCACCTGTATGGCGCTCCTGCTCTGCTCTAATGTTAGTGGGGTGGGTTCAGATAGTCTTTAGTGTTTGTACCGTTTATCAGTATTTGGTTAGAACATGTTCTGCACGTCTGCAAGAACCGTAAGGAATTATGCTTCACTGTGTACAGCTGTACATACACACACTTCATAAACATTTAAACACTATGATAATCCGACATGTAAATAAGATCTGCTTGTGCTCATTTACATAAAGAAACGCCCCCAATGTCTATATATGGTAAACAAATTCCCTTCAAAAGCCCCCAGTAGCCTATGAGGCTTATATAAAGATGTTGCGCCTAGTAGGTATATCAACATCTTATACAGTCAACAACTGAATGTCAGATCAAATAAAGTACAGTTTAGTGATATTTCAAAAATATTTATTGTCAGTTTCCTCTTTTTAGAGCCGACATGTGAAATAA